GTGAAATGTTTTTTCCAAAATTTTCCACTTTTTAGGAATTTTTTTTTTCATATTTAATTAAAAATACCAATGTGATAAAAATGAAACTCTTACTCAAGAAAAACAGAAATTAATAATAAATAAAACCGATGCCACGCATATAAAGGATTTATAGTGAAAAACTTTGTTTTTACGGGTTAATTTTTTGTCGTCGTTTCACCCTTTATGCAATAGGTAACTGCGACTCCACGTGTGATAAATACCACACGAGTGCGTGTACCATAAGCCTCGCTTTCACACTTGTTGTGTACAGGTAAACAACCCGATGTTGTCGTCCCCTGTCTGAGCTCTGCGCAAAGCTTCTCCGTTACAACAGGCGATGTTGTTCTCGAATGGGCCTCTTTAATTAAACATAGGATGTGACTCAACCGCATGCATTTGTTTGCCCCGAGACTTTCGATGGACATTTAGAATGCACGTGGCGTGCTAAACCCCCCTTTGTACTTGCAGACCATCCCTCCGGAAAGGGGGGGAGGGAGTCAATTACCATTTGTATAAATGGTATTCAGGTTAAAATAGAAATTTCGTTTGTTTTTTCAATCGAGTGCTGTTCAACGCAAACGAGCAAATAATTGGAGTGCGAAACGGAGTTTATACGTACAATGTAAACATCCTAATTGCTATATAATTCGAGTTGGTGTATAAGAACACTGTGTGTGTATGTAAAAGTGTGTGTATGTAAAAGTGTGTGTGTGTTAGAGAGTGTGGGGAGCGGTGGTGTAAGCGGTTAGCGCTACGAACCCGGCGACCCGAGTTCAATTCCCACTCACGGCCAACGCCAGTGACGATCATCTGAACCGGGTCCTGGGCCTCCCCTAGGTCGACTCAGCCCTCAAACGAGGAGTACAGCCCCCGGGTGCGGTGTGTGTAAACATCGCCACTTGGGGAGACAAAGGCGGCCGGGCGTGGTAGTTGGCCACCCACCCAACCAACCTCGTGTCGTTGATAAGCATACAGAGAATGTGTACTTGTAAAGTTCGTGAGTTGGTACGCGTGTGTGTGTGTGTGTGTGCATACATCAACCAGTCATCTCAGTCAGTCGACCCGTGGCAACCTGCTGGGTCTGCCCCGTGACCTCCTGCCAGTGGGCGTTCGACACTTCACGTGGCCTCAAGGTGCACATGGCCTGGCACAAGCGTCGTGGTGACGTCACCGCATGCAAGTAACCGTGTGTGTATAAACAAAGACAAAGATCCCCCCGTGTAGCCTTAACAGAATGTTGGGACAAGTGCTGTGGGCGAGCACCTATAAAGGCCAGCACGGCACACGAGGTGGTGGGTGGCCAACACCACGCCCGGCCACCTTTATCTCCCCAGTGGCGATGTTGTGGTATACACATGCACAGTATACGTAACGTACCATGTATGCAGACAGACGTTGTCTTTTGGGAGTATTTGGGACAAGGCGGTGGCATCACGGGCATGATCTAAAGCGGAATGTGTATACAGCACATGCTGTGTGGGTGTGTGTAAATGTTGTCTGCAATGAGGAGATAGACACGGGGGATAGAGCCACACACCGTGCTCTGCCGGCTATAGTCGAGACAAAGTAAGTTGACTAAGGGAATATAGTAAAATAATAAAAATAAAACATGATGAAATACAATTCTCACGACGTCTCGGCCACAACGCAAGCAGCCGTCCTCAGGTGAAGAACAGGACATCAGACGCTGTCTTTCCGACAGTCCTGTTCTTCACCTGAGGACGGCTGCTTGCGTTGTGGCCGAAACGTCGTGAGAATTGTATTTTATTATGTTTAATTTTTATTATTTTATTATTTCCCTTCTATGTGACTTTACCGAAAGAACCAAGAAGATGAATCCTGCAGTCACCAAAGCTTTAAATCGAAATTTAAGTTGTCTAACTTGGTAAAACTCACAACGCCGACTGAAATGGTCCAGAGTGAAAGGAGGTTCGAACTTGCTAAACCACTGCTTCCCTAACACCACAAAGCGTTATTACAAATATAAACACCGTCCACAACAAAGCCAGATAACCAACAAGCAAAGCCACAACTCCGGCGAATAATTTTTGCCGTTTTTTTTATCTTCGGGACGTTTTTGTTGTTGATCGCAAAATATTAAAACGATGGGAAAAAAAACATTTAAAATAGCCTTTTTTTGCCTTTCTTACAACAAACATGTGTTAAGGATGCTCCAACAGCCAATAACAGATTGTATATAATAATTACACTATGTAACACGATTTTTGTTCCTGGGTAGAAAGTGTTATTTTCAAATTGCTTATGCTTCAAAAGTACAGAAAATAGCGATTATTCCCTACAAACTTTGACCCTCCTTCTGAAAATGGTCCAGAAACTAGTATATAAAAAAACCTCAATAGTTCAAGAGCCACAATGCACTGTGTGGTGAATACGAGACGATAGGTAGGGGGGGGGGGTTCCTTAATAAATATCGCCACGAAGCAGCAGTCGTGAAGAGTCACAGGTTGGAGACCCCTTGTGCACTAGACCCATGGAAATGACGCTACGCTCCTCAATCACCGCACGGCAGCGTCACACGTGCGCGTCTGTACTGACTCACCGGCATTGTTTGTGAAGCACGTTTGAGTGTGCTGATGAGCGCCAGAGGTGAGCGAATCCGGTCCAGAGTTTGTTTATTCAAAGCAAATGCTGCAGGTTCACATTACCCCTCTCTCAGGCCAATAACACCGATATGATCATTACAGTCGGCTATGATCCATCAACTTCTGGATGAAGCCCCCCCCCCCCCCAAGACATCGACATTTCTCACGGTTCTGTGGTGTAACAGTCCACTTAGCAGCACCTGCACACAGATTGAAAACTAATTTATTTAGAACTGCTTTTTGTGTTTAGTTTATTGTCTACCCCCCCCCCCCCCCAGCACATTTCCGATTAACACGGTTGGCTATGTATGGTGCGAAAGAAGTTCAACATATACACACGGGCTGATTTCATCGCTCCATCTCACCCCCGGTGAGCGTACGATGGGGATGCCGCTCTATTAGTCGGCTAAAACTCTTGACAAATGTTCTTGACCATCACTTACTCAGCTCGTTCACGACGACGACGCTGATAAGTTCTCGGTGAATGTATATAAAGGTAGGTCGATTACGGAATGTCTCCTCGCCCATGCAATATGAATAAAACCCATACACGCGTGTTCAAAGCTCAAGCCGGACAACTCACACTTGCCGATGAGCGTTTACAGCTCGGCTCACAGCTTCTGCGCCACTACTCCACGTTACATTAGTTCAACTTCACAACCCCGAGTTCCACACAGTTCTTCTCCGCGTGTCGCATCCATCAGCTCATGCCCCCGTCTCGTGGCCCATGTTCTCCGAAAATTCAAGACGCGAGCCACACAGAGATGCGACTGTGGTGGCCATGCAACACGAACTTTAGAGTCGCGTATAGAAAGTAAAACCAATAAAGTTAGTCCACCACACTCCTTCAAAGGAGGAGGAATGGGTACACATCTACACGAAATCGCTTTCTCTCACCGTCGGGAGTAGACATCAGAGGTCGCAACCGGGTACCCGATACCCGTACCCTACCCGATACTCGGCTACCCGTACCTGGCTGGGTACGGGTAGCTGTTTGCGACCCTGGTGCGGCCGGGTACGGGTAGGCCGTGAGTCACTGGTGAGTAACCGTTTGTCACTCATTTCGGGTAGGGTACGGGTACGGGTACCCTACCCGACCCTGGTGCGGCCGGGTACGGGTAAGGAATCAAAACCCGTTTGCGACCTCTGGTAGACATCGACATTGGCATCTCGCTCCTGTACGTATGATCTAACTTTTTTTTTATTTTACCAAGGCGCCACTGAGCGATGTCAGCTCTTTTTCAGATGCGACCTGGCCCACAAGCGATAGCTCAGCAAAGTGGCTCATCGTGTTGGGAATTTATAGCAGCCAAATTATACTCTAAACGCGTGTTTTGTTGATTCTAAATGTGCAGGGGAAAACCGGAGGACCCGGAGAAAAATCCACGAGACCACGAAGAGAGAGAGAGAGACAAGCAAACTCCAAATATACAGCAGCAGGCGTCAGGGTCGGGATCGAAGCCACGACCTCCTGTGTACCTGGCGAGGTAGTTAACATCTCCTAGCCATTATGATGATGATGAGAGAGAGACACGCAGACTACAAATATACAGCAGCAGGCGTCAGGGTCGGGATCGAACCCACGACCTCATGTATACCAGGCGAGGTAGTTAACATTTCGCCATCGCACGCAAGAACAGAATCGAGTGAAATCCGAGTGTCTGGATCCTCCAAGACATTGATGTTAACTCCTTCAAAGCGGCGTCAACAATATAATTACCAAAAGTCCCTAGACACAATAGCCAGACAGACCCTTCTTAAAGTCGCAAACATGTTAACGAGATAAGCCACCACACGTTACCGCATATCAACCATAGTTAACCGATATAAGATCCTTGAAATATACGAGGAATTACTTAACGAGACAATTTAGCAATTATCGCCAAGCATTACACAGTAAACCGATATCTACAGTACCGCATGTTTTATATATAAGATACCGTAAACTTGATATGAATCAGTAATCTGATGCCGACTCCTTAGCACCCCACACGCACACGGGACGTGTCCACGAGTCCGCATAAAGTCGCGTGCCAAAGGAGAGAAAACGAACCGAAAAAAACATTCGCTCAAATTCTCACAACAACAAAATAGCAACAACACTGGCAGCAAATATTTACTCCGAAGCAATCTCATCGGGGGCACTGCATCCTCATCCCCGTCGTTGTGCGCGTGTTCGTTCCACCACCACCACCACGTTCCACCACCACCACCTTCCACGACCACCACCTTCCACCACCACCAACTTCCACCACCACGTTCCACCACCAGCACCACGTTCCACCACCAGCACCACGTTCCACCACCAGCACCACGTTCCACCACCACCACGTTCCACCACCACCACCACGTTCCACCACCACCCCCGGGTCTCACCTCCTCGCCATCAGCGCCGCACATCAGCGAGCAACCGAGAGGACGCGTCGCGGCGAGGGGGTGGAGGAGGAGGAGACGGCGTCGTTGTTGTACTCCAGCGGCGGCCGGCGAGAAGGCACCGCAGGCGAGGGCAAAAAACGTCGCCAGCAACACGCCGGGAACTTTGAGAGCGGCCATCAGATCCACTCCAGCGTTGCGCGTCGCAAGCCCCCCTGGTCGCCTGTAACAACTCCACCACCGCCACCACCACACCACGCACCCAGCCCCTCGCTCCCCGACTTGCACACCGCCACCCTCTGCGCGTGCTTGATGCTCACCGAGTGGCGGGCGAGCTCACAAACTCTCAACCCACACGCGGTCCCCTCTCTCTCTCCCCTCCTCTCTCTCTCTCCCTGTGTGTGTGTGCTGTGCGGTGGTGGTGGTGCTGGCTCCGTGCGTGAAAGTTCTGCAGCCGGCGAGAGAGTGGAGGGGGAAGGTGTGGGGGTGGAGCCGATGTGGTTGGGGGGTGGGGTGATGGCTAGGGGTGAGGGATGTGGGAGGGAGGTGATGCCGGGGGGGTGGGTAGGGGTGATGCCTGGGGGGAGGTGATGGCTAGGGGGGAGGGATGTGGGAGGGAGGTGATGCCTGGGGGGGGGTGATGCCTAGAGGGGTAGGGGTGATGCCTGGGGGGAGGTGATGGCTAGGGGGGAGGGATGTGGGAGGGAGGTGATGCCTGGGGGGGGTGATGCCTAGAGGGGGAGGGGTGATGCCTGGGGGGAGGTGATGGCTAGGGGGGAGGTGATGCCTGGGGAGGGGGTGATGCCTAGGGGGGGAGCGATGTGGGAGGGTGGTGTTTGGCCAGACGGAGGAGGAGAGGGCAAGGGAAGGAGTTGGTATGTTATAGAATCAGCAGAAGTTGCAAAAGTATGAATAGTGATACAGTGCCGTGGTGATCATACTACGACTGCAATTGTATTGCACCAGTATCAGCTTCACTTTGGGGCGGATGCGGATCTAGAAACTTTCCAAGTGCAGCCAGCGGTGAAGAAATGTATGTATTGATTATATATAATGTTATATCGGGCCCGATATAAATAAAACGAATATTCAACGTTGTTACTTTATGTTTTCCGGTAAACACAGTATCGATACAATTTGCCTTGCCCCATCCGGCCCCGCGAATTATTCATAGACATTTCGTTTAATGTCCATGAATGAATCACTAAAATAGCTTTTTTTATTTTACTAGGTAAGGGGCCGTCATATTTGAGGGGGGGGGTCTGACTTTTTGTGACGCCGCGTGACGAAGGGGGGGGGGGGGGAGTAAAAATCGTCCAAAATCGCGTGACGTCATTTATGGACGGCCCCTAAACGCCAGGTCTGCTGTACTGGTTGCAAGTGGGATGCTGTAATTGTGTGTAGTTAGTCCCTGGACCAGAGCGGATACTGTGCACCGTATTGGTATTACCCAACACAGCACAACTTTACTTACAGACGTTATTTATACGGCGATTCATACTTTAGTGTCTTTCCCCCACACCTCCAATAGGCACGGTTGGCTACGTACGGTGCGAAAGACGTTCAACGCAGTGTGGGAGCAAGCAACATCGGCAAGACTCCGACCCTGCTACTCCTACTCCGAACTACACATCGCATCGTCAGCCTGACTCAACAATATCCCTGCAGTCACGAAAGCTTTAAATCGAAATTTAACCGCCTCTACGAGGAGGGATTCCACACAACTTTGAGATCCTTCAACAAGCTCCGTGATAAGAAGGCTCAGCTAATCGAGTCTCTCACCTTTCTGAAGAGATGCCGCGACTCTAAGACGCTGTCGCCTCGACAGACCTGTTCTTCACCGGAGGACGGCTGCTTGCGTTGTGGCCGAAACGTCGTGAGAATTATTTTATTATGTTTTATTTTTATTATTTTATTACTTCCCTTCTACGTGACTTTACCGAAAGAACCAAGAAGATGAATCCCTGCAGTCACGAAAGCTTTAAATCGAAATTCAACAATATCCCCTTCACAATCCAGGCGTCATCGCGATTTTCCCATTGTGATGGTGGCTGAGATGATAATCACGACGATGATGTTTGCGGCAAAGGTCTAAAAAAACAACAACGGAGAAAGCGGTTCTGCACGACTGATGTGATGGTGATTGTCACGGTGTGACTGTGTGCTAGTGGCTCGCGACGTGTGTCTGTATTTTCGCGGGTTGCGCCGCGTGTTCTTCGGCATGATGTCCGACGTTTCGCTCCACGTGCTTGGAGCTACCGGTCGAGGAACGTCGGAGAAACACTTCAGAGGCCGTGCCGAACGACACGCAGTGACAGTGCAACTCAAAAAAGTCATATTGAAAAAAAAAAACTGTTTTAAAAACACGCTTTTATGAAATGAACTCGTAATGGCAGAACTCCACGACTCCAGGAAGTGGCCCCGAAGCTTGCCACAACGTAAGTGACCGTGGTGATTTACAGCCAACGTCAGTTGACCGTGGACAATTAGAGCCAAGCCGAAACATAACATGTAAAAAATATAGTTTAAAAATATGTTTTTATTTTTCATGATAGAATAGAGTGTTGTCATCAGTTTGACATAAGTATACCAAGTTTGCAGTCGATACCACATTGGGAAGTGGGTTAAAATTGAGTTACAAGATTTGAGGATACAACAACGACATGAACAACAACGACAACAACAACAGACAGAGTGAGTTAAAAGAAAGCGTACGGCAACGGCAGCGCGAATCTGCGCAGTTTCTACTTTTTAGTGAGTCACGCGGTGAATGGTTTGCATGGGAATCTGGATTTGAGTGAGGTCGTGGGGTATATAATCGAGTACAGAGAGTTGGGGTTTTTTATGAGAAAGATCTGGGATACAACTGAGACCTCCCCCCGCCCCTAACCTCAACACTATGAGGTCGTGGAAAAAAAGCTGAAATTCCTGACCACTTGTATTGGCAGTCTGACTCAAGGGCCCCGCATGTCCCACACAGTCTGTGCCGGGCTGTACAACAATTATATAAAAAAAGCCTACAACGGGGTTTTTTTTTACAGCCCGGCATGTATTTCATTAGTGACGTTTCCATGGAACTGGGGGGGGGGGGGGGGGGTTCCAGTGTTTCAAGTTACAACAAAATGCACTCCACAATAATGCAAACAAACACGGCCGGGGATTGGTTGCACCGTTCATTTTCTCTCCCCGTAACTTATATTGTGCGCAATCATCTGTAAATAAATACTGTACACGTAAAATAGGAGCATGTGGCACAGAGCGGAGACATTTAAGTAATAAAAAAATATAGTAATGTTTAAGGCTTACTTGGTTGGCTCAGAGAGGGCTGGGTCGGGACTGTTGAGACCTTGAGATTAGATTCCAACTTTCGGCCACCCATGATCAACAGATGTGAATTCATAGTCGCAGCCCCAGTTATTGCTGGCTGCATAGAGACGCTAGCATATGTGTCTGATGGGGAAATTAACATTTTCAATTAGATTGGCCACACGATGAAAGAGTCTTTTTTAAATCCTTTATATTAAGTTCACTTGCTTGCTTGCTTGCGCGCTTACGACCGTGCAAATCTTTCGGTCGTTTTTTAACCCACTTCCCGTGATCCAATCGAGCTGACATTTTGCACACTGACTCGTTGTGCGTGACAATTTATTTTCGTGAATTTTTTTTCTCCAAAAGTTTACACTTTTTATGATTTTTTTAAATATTGAATTACCAATTGCTTAATGGTGGCAGGCAATCATCTGACCCATAGGTGGCAGCCATCTCAAGCCAGAGGACGAGAGGACTCTAGCCGCCACGCATATAAAGGATTTATAGTGAAAAACTTTGTTTTTACAGGTAATTTTTATTTGCAGGCCACGTTGCTACAGGAGGACAGGTGAATGGACTTCAGAGGTCATTCTAGGATGTCATCTTCTGGGAAAAATCCCATGACACGGGGTGACGCGCTGGTCTGCGAAAGCTCTGAGCAGACGTCTTCATTGTGACACGATACAGACGATACGCTTGGCATGGGAAAGAAAAGAGTAAATTCCATCTTCTTTGTTCTTTCGGTAAAGTCACGCGACTTTACCGAAAGAACAAAGAAGATGAATCCCTGCAGTCACGAAAGCTTCAAATCGAAATTTAATATTTTATTATTTTTATTTTTATTATTTTATTATTTCCCTTCTACGTGACTTTACCGAAAGAACAAAGAAGATGAATCCCTGCAGTCACGAAAGCTTCAAATCGAAATTTAATATTTTATTATTTTTATTTTTATTATTTTATTATTTCCCTTCTACGTGACTTTACCGAAAGAACCAAGAAGATGAATCCTTGCAGTCACGAAAGCTTCAAATCGAAATTTAATATTTCATTATGTTTTATTTTTATTATTTTATTATTTCCCTTCTCCGTGACTTTACCGAAAGAACCAAGAAGATGAATCCCTGCAGTCACGAAAGCTTCAAATCGAAATTTAATATTTCATTATGTTTTATTTTTATTATTTTATTATTTCCCTTCTCCGTGACTTTACCGAAAGAACCAAGAAGATGAATCCCTGCAGTCACGAAAGCTTCAAATCGAAATTTAATATTTCATTATGTTTTATTTTTATTATTTTATTATTTCCATTCTACGTGACTTTACCGAAAGAACCAAGAAGATGAATCCCTGCAGTCACGAAAGCCTTTAAATCGAAAAGTAAATCACATGTTTTAATAGAAAAACATCAAGAAAATGCCCCCCCCCCCCTGTACAGTACTATATACCCGATAATCTTCTTCCTAGCGTTGTTCCCGCTGTGGCGCAGGGTCCGCTTTTCGGCATTGTCTTCTCCATTTGGCTCGGTCCAGGGCATCTTCAGGGGATGCGTTGACCGTCTTCATGTCTTCCTTTATTCGGTCCATCCATCGCTTCTTCGGACGTCCGCGTGGACGGCGGCCCTCTGGCTCAATACGCACGGCAGTCTTGGCCACTGATGACTCTTCACTTCGCATCACATGGCCGTACCACCGAAGCCTTGCCTCAAGCATCTTGTCCGCAATGGGGGCTACACCAAGTCGCTTCCGAACGTCTTCGTTCATGACACGATCCCATCGAGTGAGCCCGAGGCTCCATCTGAGCATCCTCATCTCCATGGTGTGGAGAGCTTGTTCGTGTACAGTTGTGGCTGGCCAGCACTCGGATCCATAGAGTGCCACCGGTCGGACGATGGTCTTGTATATTTTTCCCTTCAGCCTATCCGGCATTTTCCGATCACAGAGGACTCCGGTGACTTGCCTCCATTTCATCCACGCCGCATTGACTCGTGACCTCACATCAGTCGTGATGCTACCATCTGAGCTGATGGTGGAGCCCAGGTACTTAAAGTCCGTCACTTTCTTCAGATCTTCTCCGTCAATACTGAT